CGGGAACCCCAGGCTAGCGGGTGTGCTCCAGGGAAGGGGTCGGCCGGACGGGAGGCACCCCAGGGAGGCACTTGGAGCCTGGAAGTTGGGCGGGCGCAGGGAGGTGGGCGGCTCAACACAGGAGCGCCCCCTACGGGCCCGCCACACCGACCCCCTGCTGGAGACCAGCAACAGCAGGGACACCCGCTCCATGGTGGGGTAATGTGGGCAGGGGCACAGGGATGTGAGCACATGGCTGAGGCCACCAGGAAGGAGTAGAAAGGTAAAGTCCCCTCTAGGATGGTCCTGATTAGTCTTGGCCTGGGGCTGCTCATGGCTGCACGCCAACCCCTATCCCACCCCAGACAGTGCCCTGGTGCAGGGCCCTTAACAGCTCATCTCTCTAAGATGGGAGAGACTCTTGTAGAGGGAGACACCACAACCTGACAGTGCAAGGACAGGTGGGGGAGCAGGAAAAGACTGGACAGGGCCTGGGGGAGATCCCCCTTCCCCTCCGGCCAAGGGTCCTGGGACACTGAGAATTGGAGGAGGTTATGGACCGGAGCCCAAAGTGCACACGGCCCCTCCTGCTGTGCACTTTTCCCATGCCTGGGGGCTGCAGGTCTGGGCTGCTGAGGAGCACGGAAGTCCTGGGAGCAGACCCCAGACAGGGACCATGAGGGGCCAGGATTCCCAGGGCCCCCAGCCCTGAGCCTGCCCCCTGGGCAGGTGAAACCCCGGGCTGACTCTCCCTTCCACTCATCAGAGCCACGGGGCTGTAGAGAAGGGCAAGAGCTGGGCCAGGCCCTGGTCCCAGACCCATTTCAGCTCCTGGCACAGGATGGAGCCCCTTTGGGTTGATCCTAGCCTGGGGCCTGGCTCCTTCCCAAGGGAAAGTGAAAGCCAGAGAGGAGCTGCTGGGAATCCATTTTAGCTTCAGGGACAAGGACTCTGGCAGGACAGGAGGGAAAGATGCAGCCCAGGGTGCAGTGCCTGGGCAGCCTGCTCCTTCCCATGGCTCTGCTCCTTTCTCCCCTCTTCCCTGCCCCACGGGGTAAGTCCCAGTCCCACTGCTCCCCTGGTGCGGGTGTGGGGGCACCCAGGGGCTGGGGCAGGTGTGCAGCCCTGGGGCAGCCTGGCCAAAACCCGAACGTGTGGGTGAGGGAGAGGGGGAAGACACTGTGTGTCACAGTTCAGTGTGTGGGGGTGAAGTCCCGTCGCCCCGAGTGCAGCAGACCCCTGCCCCCCCAGCCCCGCATCCCTCTGGCACCAGGTCTACTTAGCGG